AACAATTTTGGTGGAAAATGTGTATGTTATACTAGTCTTTTACACCCTGAACAGAAAAGCACAATCCCTAATGCTTTAAAAATTACAGTTTGAAAGTAATTGCAATTGTTAACAATTTAACTTCTGGAGATAACAGTACCCACATTACCAAATCTCTTCAAAAGCACAGGTGTAGTCTGTAAGTTCTGTTCGCACTCGCATACAATTTTGCAATACTTCGATTGTTGATAAAAGACTTCCTTGCATTAGATTTCAATGAATCAATTTCATACGTATGGAATTTGTCTGATATGTTAAATATAATATGATATATCTAAATATAAGTTGTTGAGAAACTCACAGCATACGATGTAACCTGTTTTTCAAATTTCAAGTATTATACATAGAAACAAACACCTGAATTTCACAGTAATATAGCAGTTCATATTTATGTTATTTTGGTTAAATACATCACCAGCTGCATTATTTTTTGGTCTTTGTAAGGGAAGAGCCCAAAACTCAGACTCAAGGTCTTGTTACTGTGAAGACTTCAAGCACCAATATTATAATTGCCATGTGACAAAAAGGGTAAATATTTTTAAAAATATTGGAAGGTTAGGCTACATAATCTAATATATAAAATTCTCGTGTCACAGTGTTTGTCTGCAAACTCCTCCGGAACGACTACACCGATCGTTATGAAATTTGGTGTGTAAATTCTGTAGGTGAGTGAAAATTTAAAAACGTACGTTTTCATGTCCCTGGCCTTTTACTTCGTAGATACTGGATTTGTAGTTTATTATTATGTGTTTTAATATTTTTTGGGACGGGGGCAACATGTTACACACATTTATTTGGTTTTAAATATGTTCTAGGTATTTTTTTCATATTTTTAAAGTCTCGAAATTCACGACCATGACGTGTCCCTAGGGTACATTTTCCAACTTTCACGCTGTTTTTAGACTAATTATTCATGCCGAAATATATAAAGCCATATTTTTATGTCATCAATGGTTATTAAACTTACAAAAAAGGAGCATATTATAATTTTATTGTCATTGTAAACTGACTACCATGACAAAATAAGTCTGTCCCTCGATTTGGCGTCACGACCATTTGGGAAAATTTTTCAACTTTGGAGCACGACAGTGGCAAGCCTGGCGTCGATGGAGTCAGTTGGTTTTAGAGACTAGTTCGGGGTGAACGTCAGGATTGTATTGCCGGTCGTTTCGAGTTGAAAGGAGGAATTACAAGATTAGTAAAGGAAAGATTGTGTTTTTTGTAATTTTGGTGTGTCCATGACCGTACGTAGTCATTCGACGAAGTAGACATGGTGTTAATTTTTGTTTATAAGATATTTCAATTGCTGGATTAACCTAGAAGTCCACTTTGTATCCTCGAACATGAGGTGCAGGGCTACCGCCAGAACAGTGCCAAATAACACGTAATTTCACGACCAAAGTTTCACGACCATCTCGGGTTTTTTCACGACCAATCCAGCCTTATGGATTATAGTGTGTTTGGTCGTGACAATAACTTTATTATAATTGTAAATTGAACAGTTTAGTTCAATTAAAACACATAGTCCTATTATAACTAACAGTATAATTGAAGGATTGTTTAGAAAGATTTGGATTATTCTAGACAATTCACGACCGTACCGCTTGTCCCTGACCATCACGTTTATGATTTCTATCATAAAAATTTCAAAAATTAAAATATCGTCATATTTCAATGTTTTATACACAAAAGAAGCACACCTCTATACAAACTTAACGATTTTTCGGGTCTCAGGTAAGTTTTTTCGGAGATATACAAACTTAAAAAGATTGTATTGGCTTTTTTCTATTTTTTTAGTTTTTTTTATTTTTTTCTAGAAAGACCAAATATACCAAAAGCTCAGTGACCTTTTTATTGTATAATGGTCATAAAAGTAAATTAGTTTATAGCAAAACATAGTTATAAAAATAATATTAACTATTTTTAATATTCATTTAAACGTCCGCTATGGTCGTGACAGGATTTTGTGTTTCTCCACTAAAGATGCTCTTTTAAAAAAAACTACCAAAGATATTGCGTTACCATGGACATTTTATGAAACTTCAAATGTTAATGAAATAAAAAGAATAATAAAAGTTTTGAAAAAAGGAAAAAAAAATTTGCTAAGTGCTTTTCCTGAAAACGTACGTTTTTAAATTTTCACTCAGGTATGCGAATCGGACGTAAACTATTTCCCGTTTCGAAATTCTTAAAAGGGCTCCGCCCCAGTGGCTCTGGAGTTTCCCATGTTAACCTTATGAGAAATGGAATTAATGAATCTTAACAGCTGTTTCAATTAAACAAGTTGGTTCTGTTCTATGATGTTCAATAGCATTAAAGTTACAAGGATTACCAACAGGGTGCAGCACTATTATTTCTTTTACATTTATGACAACAGCTAATTTGCAACCAAAAGGTGAGTGAGCGTAGCGAACGAACCTCAACCTGGAGGCGAGTGAGCGTAGCGAACGAGCTAACCTGAAGGCAAGTGAGCGCAGCGAACGAGCTCCAACCTAAAGGTGAGTGAGCGTAGCGAACGAGCTCCAACCCAAAGGTGAGTGAGCGTAGCGAACGAACTTCAACCAGGACGTGATTGAGCGATGCGAACGAGATCATCTTGAAAATTAAACGTAACGGTACTTTCTTTCCATCGGTCTGTCTTAGGGGAAACCTATAACTTAGGCGATACGAAGTTCGCCGGGTCAGCTAGTTCAACTATAAAGTTTGCTACTACTTTATTTTGGAAGAATGTTTAGACTAAATAAAATTAACACAGTGATTGATTGATTCATTGATCATTGATCTGACAACAAGAGTTATAAGATGGGTTTTGCACAATTAGAATTATGGTTTAGGCAAAGTTAATTATTATGATTGTCTTGAATTGATATGATTTAGTAGGGGGATGATTTTAGAACAGTGAAAAGTAAAATGTAATAGCCTACTGTAGTAGCTTAACTGATTGTAAAATACAAAGTAACCAAATAACTAATTGTTAAGTTCAACAGTTTGGAATGCAGCTGTACATATTCTTGAACAGAATTCACATCAATGTAAAATTAACTTTGACTCAACGTATGTTATCATACATTACATTACAGATTTCTTTTTTGGGGTGGGGTGAAATAAGTCAGTATAAGAAAGCCAATTTTTGTACGATAATGTAATTATCCTTAATGTGTCTGGAAACCATGTAGAGTGCTTATTTCAAGTAGCGGCTCAAAATAGTTTACACAGTATACATTCATTCATTGGCACAACTAGTTGTCTGTTACAAAACAGTTTTAAAGTGGGAAAATACAGGAGAACTGGATTTTACATGTTACTGTTAACTAGACACTTTTTAAGTTCACGACAAATAATAAAGATAACATCTTGGCTGATTTAAATTTCAACACCTATGTAAAACATCCATATCTTAAGTAATTTTTTAAATGACACATTTATTCTTAAGGAGTACCTACCTACATCTAAAATTTTCATTATGGTTGGCTAACACGTAATATAATTTGTAACTATTCTTGAAATAGCATAGGTCTATTTATCTATTTATACTTTATTTAAACATTTTATACCAAAATCAACAAGCCTGTCCCATAAGTACACTAACTTAACTCAAAGCTACCTTTTGAAATTATTTTAAAGATTTGTTAAGAATTTGAAGTATTATTAACGCAAAATGTTTCTTTTGTTGTTCAAAGGTTTATTGCGGACATTTTCCATCACGAATGTAAAAAACAATACACAAAGTTTCGGGATCTGGAATCTGATCCCGTCTTCAGGTGAAAAAAACTTAACTAACATATTACAACTGACAATACACAAACGCCCAACCTCAGTTGGAATACACTACCGAGGGTAGTAGTCAAAAAATATATGCACTGTATAGCAGTCGTCATGATACAACATGCAATTAATAACAAATCACAAAACACTATAATCTATAAAAGGTTTAACGTAAAAAACTCACACAATGGAACACTAATAGCACCGTACGCAATGACTCCACCAATGAGACTGTCGGTAGTGTATTCCAACTTAGGTTGGGCGTTTGTGTATTGTTAGTTGTAATGTGTTAGTTAAGTTTTTTTCACCTGAAGACGGGATCAGATTCCAGATCCCGAAACGTTGTGTATTGTTTTTTACATTCGTGATGGAAAATGTCCGCAATAAACCTTTGAACAACATTAACTCACCATCACCAACAATGAACTTCAAACAAAGAATGTTTCTTTTGATAAATATTCTCACTATAGTAAGGATTTGAAAGGTTCTGATGTGCTTATTTCGCAAAAGAAAATTGTAACTTCAGAAATATGATAGCCTAGTAGTGTTCAGAAATGAGGTTGGAGAATAAAACAGTTTTGGTCAAAGCTGTTCGGTTAGTTAAATTTCTTTATATTATTTTATTTTAATATTATTTTTAACATCTTTGGCTTTTAACCTTGCATTTGCCTGTCCACATAGGCCTGAAGCTTGTGCGATCGTATCCAGCAAAAGCAAGGTGTGAGCCGAGACGCTATAGAGTGTAAATGGGCTGATAAAATGTAGTGGCAGGTACAACGATCCGAATCCAAGACATCACTGCCATAGATTGGAAGTGTAGCCCTACTGACTGAGCCACCGACTAACCTGATAAACTAACCTAAATGGGTTGATTTAATTTTGTTTGATTGATTATTAAAGTAGAATAAGAAATAAGCTAAATAAGATATTTAATTTTAGCCACAAGCAGTGGCCTGATACTTTATGAGTTGGCTGCAGTAAAAAAAAATTTATTCCTCCTTTGATGTGGTTCTCTTTAAACAGCAGGGTTCCTTTAACACTAAATTGAAAGGACTTGTATTGAAAATCATATCAGTATCCAGCTGAAACAGTTAAAATTAAAAGAACACTTTTAAATCTGCAAATTAATAAACCAAATATCCTATCCATTAGGCTAACCAAGAATATAGATTACACCATTTATCGTACACAAAATGAATATTTTCCTGAGCTATTGAATTATTTTACTAAAATTGGTAAAAGCGTTAACAAAAACAAAGAAAACAAAATCACAATTATTTCTTAAAAATAAAAACATCTTATCACAAGTATTTACACTGCTGTCTGTTATTATAAAATCTGTGACTAGGTATGGCTTCAACGTACTCTTTATAAAGGTCCATCTTGTCTTTCATTTGACTAGTTTTCTTGTTACATAGTAGTTTAGTCACACAATTGTATTGATTCCAGACTAGTTACTCTGTTCAACACTAACGAAGTGGTCCGGGTGTTTTACCATGTGGCGCTTCAAGTTGGAGTTTGAAGTGAACTCTGCCTCACACTCTTGGCATTTGAACTGCCGTACTCGGGCATGCACCCGCAAGTGCTTGTTTAAATTGTTCTTCTCGCCAAACTTTTTGCCACACAGCTTGCACTCAAAAGGTTTCTCCCCAGTGTGTCCGTGTTTGTGGCGCTTCAACGTCCCACTTTGTGTAAATTCCGCATCACAAATGTCACACTTGAACGGTTTAGCGCCGGTGTGCGTGACCAAATGTCGGTTCAAGTGGCTGGAGTTCGTGAAGCGCATTTCACATAGAATGCACTGGAAAGCCTTGATATCGTTGTGAGACAGCATGTGTTGCTTGAGACTGTAGTTACGAACAAAGTCTTTGCCACAAATGTCGCATTTGAACTGTTTAGTTCCCTCGTGCACCAGGATGTGTTGTTTCAAGCTGCTACTCCTGGTGAACTTTGCGTCACACAATTGACACTGGAAGGGTTGCTCACCAGTGTGGCTCAACATGTGCTGGTTCAAGTAGCCGGTGTGGGCGAACTTGGCTCCGCAGATAAGACAAGCGTACGGTTTTATCCCCAAGTGATTAAGGAGGTGCTGCTTGAGACCGTTGCTCTGAGCAAAACGTGCATCACAAGTTGGGCATTTATGAGGCTTTATACCGGTGTGCGTCATCGTATGCCTCTGAAGGTGATATTTGTTGGTGAATGAGGCATCACACGACTCGCATTTAAAAGGCCTTATCCCAGCGTGACTCATTAGGTGTCGCTTTAAACGGAAACTGTTGGAAAAATTTGCTTGACAAAGAACACATGTAAAAGGTTTCAAGTTGGAGAAATTGCTTATTTGTGTAAGGTAAGATAAATCTTCTAGATTTCCGTTCTCTACATTACTTTCCTCATCAAGAGAATTACTTACTTCTGTACTGGATGGATCTTTACTTGTCCCTTCTAAGTCTGGCAGTTCTTCACTATCTTCTGTTAAACTAGATTTCATTTCATTCTCTTCTAAAGTGACAATTTCACCACCTTCCTCCATTTCAGATATGTAGCTTGATTTTTCTTCCGTATCAACATCTTCATTTTCTTCCAAAACACCATTAATTTCTTCTTCTACAAAGTATTCATTGTTGTCCCCCACCTCAGCTGAGTTTTGATCCTGAAGATTTAAAACTTCACTCATTTCAGACTGTTCTATTGGTAGAGGACTTCCCATCTTTTCCGCAGCAATATTTTTTATTTTCACTTACGAAAATTAAATGTCGTAATCTACATTGGTAAATTATTTCTTCACCACAGGAATACCAAATGAAATTGTATACATGTTTAATAAGTCTTGCTTAAAAAATCTAAACTGAGGGTAAAGTTTATTTCCTAAGATCCCTTTCCTATCACTTATTGAAAATCTTGAAAACCACATCCTGGTCTGTATGAGAGGTTGTACTTCCTGAAAAATGTAAAAACACAAATTCAATAATCAGTTCAGGCACCGTTTTTTACAATTTATAATAAATCCTAGAGGTTTTTAGTTTTATATTTTGATAAAATTAATATCACCACTTGAACTCACCATTTAAGTTTCACACCAACCTGACCAAGACCCTAAATCTATAGATTTGTCGGTAGGAACACAGACATTACTGGCTGTTAGTCAACAATTGCATAATGAATCTTAATCAGATGTACTGTATGGCTCGTTCAATAATGCAACTCACATGTTTGCTTCCTGTTGAAGTTTTTTTTTAAAGCACAACAGATTTCTTTTCATTGTACAAAACAAATGGAATGGGTGCCCGCAGGAATTTTCTTCAGCAGGTGCAAACCAGTATTTTGTTTCTGGGGTGGGAAAAAAGGCCATCCTCCAAAATTAAGTTTATATAAATACCTCCGCAGCAGCAAATCTAAAGATTAAGTGAATTTTCATTATTGTCTGTCGGAATTTTACTCAAATACTTTGTTAAACATAATTTTAATTATGTTAATGACATTATATTTGACGAGTATAGTACCAAGATTTGCTGCTGGAAGGAGTGAGGAAGTGGGTTTTAGCAAATTTCCCATTCCTGTAGGAAATATGCTATTGTTACCAGAGTAAAGTACCAGACCCGGAACCAATTTACTTTTTCATTTGATATTCCCAGAGGCCAAAAACACCATTGGTTTAAATTCATATATATGTGTTTTTATTTCTTAAGATTCCTTTCCTAGCACTTAATAGCAATCATTGAAATCACATCCTGGTCTGTATGAAAGGTTTGACAGATTCCAATCCATGAAGAAAAAAAAATTAAAAAGAAAAAAGTCCATGAACAGGATGATTGAACTGCAAAATTGATTAAATATTTATTTTTTATCGCGGTTTATGTTTCCTGAAGCTTCATCTTAAAGTTTGTATGTCATGAGGCTAGAGCCAATGTAGAGGGTACATGAATAGGCCTTTATGTATTAAACAGGTATAGAGAGAATATTGCAGTAAATTTGTATGACTGGAATATATGTTAATTTCAGTCATATTTTAGTTAGCATGGTTAAAGAAAACCATGTTGTTAAATTATGAAAATCAATACCAAATCTAAATATTAAACTTAAAATTTTTTTAAAGTGTTATTAAGTTAGGACCTTTTTTAAATTTAAAGTAGGCCTACCCTTAAACACAGAGATAAGATATTTTAATACCTGAGACAGGTGGCATTTTCTAGGTGTAGGCTTTTGAGAAATATATCTGCAACAGAAACACAGTATTACATATTATTTAGTATTTCGTGCATATTTAGTACAAAAAAAGGCCTATGCTAGTGATGGGTCAGTAGCAATTTTCAAAGTCGGTATCAGAATAGTCCATCAGTTCCTTACAAACAAAGATTTTCGGGTTTGGTACTAGTAGATTGGTATTGGTACGGCTCGTGACACATAAGCTCAAGTATATGAATCACGAGGAGTCAAACCCATGAGTCAGCGGAAATGTTTGCACACGGGTTTATTCTTTGTACCTACACTCCCCTCCCCCCAACGGCCTAAACTAACTGCGCTAGGCCCAAGTGCTAGCTTACGTGTCACGAGCTGTACCTAACTACACAGTAGGCTTAAGTTAAAAACGTTGTATTTCTTATCATGTTCATCTTGTGAACATAATTTGGCTAGGGTACATGCAAGTTTTGTGATTTACAGGTTTCAATCGCAAATACTGCCAATAGGATCGCGCTCTGTACCCAGCGCTAGTACCCAAATACAAACATTTCAATTTCAACGTCTGTTCTCAGTGCCTATACAATTCTCAAGAATCCATTTAAGGATTTTATTCAGTGACCAACACATAATTTAACTTTTTGGGCAGTATGCCTGAAATAGGGTCAGTTGGGGTAATTATGACCACTTTTTTATTTTAAAATGTTAATTACAGGCTTTAAAAAAAATAATTTAATGGTTTTAATAGTTTAGGGTGATCTTTTGGATCTTTAGGAATGTAGAGAAAATCTAACTTTAAACGGGTGGTTATAGTAAAAAAAAAATGAAAATGTGGGGTACCTACTAATTCTGACCACAGATGGGGGAATTATGACTAGGTACTCTTTTTTCTTCAATTTAAAGATTCGAATTATGACCAATAATGTTTTAATATTTGAGCAATCAAGATATTTTTTATCTCAACAAATTCAACTTTTGGTGGTGGTCATAACTACCCCATCAGAGGGTAAAAACAAACATACTGTCCGCGAGAGTAAAGAAGTCCCTTGAGCCAGAGCGATACGCAGCTAAGTTTTGATGTATCGCACACTATTTGCAGGCGCTAAGCATCTGGGCGCCTCGCCTCGATGTCTGTCTGTCTGTAAACAACTGTTGTAAACATAATTTCTCATATCTTTGTTTTCTTAAATGGACTATCATCATGTGGTCACGTCATTTGATTCAGTGCAGTCTCGTGTGTTCGCGTAGTGAGTTCGTTTTGTTTTGGACGGTCCTTGTAGCTGAAGAACAAAAAAAATGTCCCTACATGTAAAAAACTATTACCTGTTTTGAGAGAAAGAATTAATTTTAAATGAAGCGAATGGGCACTTCGGCGTCTCTTAAAAGATATGGGGTTCAGGTGGAAGAAATTTGGTCCTAAAAGAAAATGTTTGATTGAAAGGCTTGGCATCGTTAATTGGAGGTTTAAGTAATATGCAAGAGATAAGAAAGCTAAGGGAACAAAAAAGGAAAATTTTCTATCTAGACGAAACTTGGATGGATAGTAATTTAACGTTCCAGAATTTTGGTAAAGTATAGACGTCAATGGCGTGTTACCTGATGTGAACGCGTCAAACCGTGTGATTGTCGTAGACATTGGGTCAAACTAAGGGGTTTTGCTTGTTTTCTTGATTTTTTGCTTAGGTTTATGGTAATAGGATTAATAACTTTAATAATAAGTTGTTTATTGCGATGAATGCTATTGAAACTGCTGCACTCGTGTATTACCGGTAATATGCATTCACCATAAGTATATTCATGGATTTACTAATTATTTGGGTTTAATGCTTTCAAACTCGGATTTAAAAAGGATTTTATTGTATTGTATTTTATTGGTATTGTTACATTTAACTAAACAAAAATCATAAAGTAGAAAGGTTATTAATTTGCCTTAGTAACACTAGAAAATGGGTTTCCTTCGATTGTATGACTATGCAAAAAAATATTATGACAGATTTATAAAAAACATACAGATATTAAATATAAAAATTAAGCCTTAAAACTATCAGACCAGCGTCAAGACGGCTCTACAGTAATTGTCGCGCGAAACGTTCAAGCGTAACGCCTTCAAACTACAAATAGGCCGGAGCTCAGGGGACTTAACTTAAGGCGATCCGCCACCTTAAATATGATTTTTTTTATTTTTTAAGTGAATTTTGCTAATAACATTTTTGCTTGTTTTATTAGTGTTAGAAATAAGGTTTCCAGGTGGAATTATTTTTTTAACCCTTTTAAGTATCTTATAATTTGAAATGTTAACGTTTTTTTACGTTTTTTACACATATTTTATACTTTAAATAACTTTTTTGCTTTTTAACCATTTGGCTTGATTTTTTTTAATTTTTATTCCTTATAGCTTAAAGAAACTTTTGTCTTATGGAAAATAAGATAAAATTGCTAGGAAAAAAGTTACAAACAATTAAAAACACATAATATTTATAGTTTTTTTTTTTTATTTATAATTTTTTTTTTTCACAGTTAGTTTTAAAGTCAGAGTGTTTTCCATAAGACAAAATATTGGTAATATAACAATGAAATAGTGGTAAAAATTTCATAATTTTATATAATATACTTTAGAAGTTATTCAAATTTTTGTACCAAGAAACACGGAAAATCCAAATTTTGGGAAACAGAGTTTAAAGTTGAGGCTTACTCAGGGAAGCTCGATACTGAAGCTTGAAGCGTAGCTGAGTCAATATTTTATTTCATTTCTTTTTGTATGAAAAAATAATCAGATTTAGATAAAAATCTACACACATACTCAGAAAAGTGTGTAGAATAAGAAAATAACATATTTGGAAAATTAAAAAAAATTTAAAAATTGGCCATTTAAAGGTGGCGGATCCCCTTAACTTATTTGTAAATTCTCTCAAACTCAGTCAAGACAAATTTGTTGTCAGCTCAAGTGAGCCTTCCCCACTCAAAATTTCAATTGACAATTAGAAAAAGTTAAACTTATGTTCAAAATCCATTTTTCTTGCCCTTGGACTATTTGTTAAGACAATAATAGATAACTAGGTGAAACCCGTCGAAATCGACGGTTACTTTCAAGGCTTACGTTAATTCATCTAACTGCGATAAATTGGGTGAAATATACATATTTTGAGCATTTAGCATTGTTTAAAGAGTAATACAGTAAGTGTAAAAATAATAATGATATTAATTGCGTTAGTTGCCAAATTTGGTTGATAATTCAATGATTAAAATATTTCCTATACTGTACGTCATCGGAGTTATTATTAGTATGTTATATGGTATCTCTTCTTCCTTTGGAAAAACATTTAAATAGTATTAAAATTGTATCGGCAGATCTTTTGTAGTTAAACACTTCAGTGATTTCATTTAATATGATTTTATTTTAAAAGAAAATATTTTTTGGGAGGACATATTCTAACTTCAAAGGGAGGTGTATCCGGTACAGTGTAAGTTTGATTTTTCCTTCGTCGTGTCAGTTCATATTGTTCTTCTGTGCCAATGAATGAACCCTCTAGCATAGTTTTGAGAAATTGACTGTGGGGTTACTGTTAAAGCTGGAATTCCTTGACATGGGGGATGTCAGTTAGTTGCCTCAGCCTTATCAATAACATAAAGTCGTCAATATAATCTCTCTACGGAATGTTAGGTGTAGAGGAATACTTGAAGTGAAGTTGGCTTTTATTCTTGAACTGTTAGGGACCTCCTAGGCCATATGGTCTTGGCGGCTTCATTGGCTTCAACAGTTAATGCAAATGACATAGAAATGGGACATTATCAAAAAGCAAAAATACTGTAAAATGGCTGTTACGTATATATTGACATTTACATATTGTTAATCAACATATCTTTTAAAGGATTATGTGATCTAGGCCTAGTTTAAAAGGAATATGACCGTTCTGTCATGACAGTAGCTGCTTAAATCATATTTTCTCTTTGTAACATATTTTACAGCCAAAATGTTGTGTTATTTTCAATAATGTTACCAACCCAGTGCGCTAAATAATTTGTCAAGATGGGTACCATTTTAGGCAATGTTTCTATGTTTGGATTTTATTAGACACGATAAGAGCAGATATTTCTACATAAATATTTGATATGTGTAGAATAATATGATAAAATGTAGGCAAAAGTGGTGAAAAAGGTAGACACCAACCCAACCCGTACAATAGATATAAGATAGTTCAATAAAAAATAATTTAAGAATTGCTGTGATAAAAGGATTTTCCACTGATTTCGTAATGGAACGTTATATTGCAAAACATGACATGATAAAGAAGAAAATCAATTTAAAAATCAGAAAATAACATTGCAAATACTTATTTGGTAGGATCAGAATTCACTAACTGCCAATAAATATGAGTTGCTTCAAATACAATTTAAAAATGAACAGCTGATTCATTAAAAGGTATTATTCACATGGCCAAAACGTAAAAACAACTCTGTAGAGGGATCTTTAAAGGCTTCTGGGGCAGAGTCCTAAGGGATTTTGCTTAGTTTTTCTTTTGATAACTCATCTACAGACCAAGACCTTTCATTGGACACCTCTACCAAGTTGCTACGCCCAGCCGTTCTTTCAAATTAGTGGGGACAAAGTTTCAAATTAAATATTTAGATTCCCCCATGTTAATCTTATGGGAGAAACTCCAACTTTTATGGCCTGTGGGGCAAAGCCCGAGGACTTTTATTACAGGAATTGTTGAAAGGGGGCGTCTACACAAAAAATACTTTATTTTGACACGTCGATTGTAAAAATCCGTCCATTATTAACGGAGGAGTAGTGTTTTGTAGAAATCGCCTTCACGCATTATATATAAGGATACTTTCTTTGTACTTTCTTATTAAATGGCGACTATACAAAGTAGGTATTTTAAGCCAAGCATGAAAGGAGATAAGTGTAGGATGAGTGGCGCGATCTTGTAGTCTAGTTAGTGACTAAGGCCGACATTCCCTAGACACAGCTGTTAAATTAATAGCCCATACAGCTAATGGAAACTAAGGGACCTACAGTTTTTATAGTGGAATCCGAACCACATTTTTGCCTTGGTATATACAAATTGGTCTTGTCGTAGTACTCACTCGTGCAAACGTTTAATCCACACCAGGGAGTATCGCATCCACAGTGCATGCCTATAAATATCCACAATTCAAGACCTCCTAGTAGCTGGATTACAGGACGACGGCACTCGTGTTTACATACCTCCGTCAAATAGTCCAACAATTAATATTGCTCATCAGCTTAAATGTTTTGTTGCGAAAGACAACATTTTCAAAGCTTGAAACTCGTCATAAACACAATTGAAACACAGAAGATATGAACACAAAAAACATTAAAATGATGCGAATAGGCTATAGGCCTACGTAAAAAACATTTAGATAGCCCTATCATAATGTTCATCATAATGACGAAGGTATGTAAAAACCTATTATTGTCTTAAACTTAAGCTATTTATAAGTGGTAAGTTACTTAGCCTATGATTTGCTGTAGGCCTACTTAAATTGTAAATAGGCCTAGGTATTGCTTATGGATCTAAAATGAAATTAAAGTTAGGGTAAGTCGTTTGAAAAAAATAAATTAATGAGATTTGGTTGGCAAAATTATGATACGAGTAACTGATGGATTTAAAATACCGATTTCTTTTGGTTGGGTATTTAGGTAAATAGGCCACGATAACTTAGTCGGAAAAGTAACTTAAAAAGACAATCGCCAATCTGTCCCTATTTCATCGTAAACTGCGGCCCATTTTCAGTTTTAACAAGCTTGTGGTGGAATTGCCTAGTGGCCTAAATCATCACTCAAACTTGGCCTAGTCATGACATAGGGTTAGGTCCTAGCCTCTAAGTAAGTATAAATTAGAAATTGGCTACAAATATGTTCCAGGTAATACAGTAGGCTACACCGATTGTTTGAATACATGTCGACAAATAAAACACATTTCTCAATATTGAATATCAAGAAAAAATACCTTACCTGCTGGGAAATGGTTGGCCCACTGATTGCGGTAAAATGTAATAGGCCTAGGCCCTGAAGTATTTTAAACTTTTGCCCGAGATGTTACATTCTTACATTTTACAAACACCAACGGGAATTCATTCATATATTTTATTAACTAGGCCTATATGGTTAAAAAGAATACAGATTTTAACATGAAACGGAATACTTGTGAAATAGGGCTATATAAATTAATATTAATTTCTAAAAGAAGGGCTGTGTAATAATATTTTTTGTTGTCACTGAGTTCGAGTTGCCTGTCATCAGTTTTATTAGCCTTCTCCCTTCTCCTTCTTCTCTTCTGTCGTCTGTCCGTTCCGTTTCAGTTTCACTGTTTCCCAGTTTCAGTTCAGTTCATTGAATCTGATGGAGGATTCAAAAACGATCTGAACGATTTGATCGAATCGCGGAGTCGACGGAGTCGACTCGAACGCAAGCGGTGTAAGCTAATTTACACCGTAGATTATATTATTCTCCCAATAATTATTTGTTATAACAGTCTTACGTACCTATCAAAAATATATGATGATACGTTCTGACATTGTCTTGTAAGGATTCTTTCTGTAATTGTAGTACGCTAAAATGCCAGGAAGTAGGTACGAGCATGATAGTTCCCAAGTTCCCATGAGGGTGCGAAACATAAATCTGAGCCTAAACAAAATGTATCTCAACACTTATGAATACGGTATTCATAACTACAAGAGTAAAGGTTCCTCAGCAGCCCCCCTCCAGTGCTAAGTAAACAAATAATACAGTCACCAATGAATTCAGAGAAACACGTCAAAATTGAATGAACAAAAAACATTCTGCAATGGTAACTCTGATCCTACTAAACTAAAAAGTACTTGGAAACCAAAATCATTCGGAATTATAGGATTATACACTCCTGTGCATAGCTTGCCGAGTACGGAATTTTATGCGGGTACCGTCTACACTCTCTACATATACAACCGCATAAGTCGCTTGCTATACTTTTCGCCACACTGACCACAAATAATAATAATATACACAGAATAAGTAAAACTAAAACACAACCTTAATAAACATACACCTAGAACACTCAGAACACTACAAATTCATGTGTAGTATACAGTTCACTATTTTAACTTTGCTGTTTTTTTTATTATTTAACGTTTGTAAAACTGTCTAATGTTTGTGTGGAAGTGCAATCATGGACTTAAGTATAAATTCTCACTCTTGTAAAATCGGAAGTTTATTTTTATGTGTTTTTAATGATAGTAACGTTGAGTTCATGTTTCGGCGAAATCGCATTCTCTGTTTAGAAATTTAATAAAATTTACTTTAATGTAAGATATAAAACCATTTATAGTAGACACTATAAGTAGACACTGTAAGAAATCAGTACCGGCACATACTTCCTTAGACAATAGTAAGTATAAATGGTGGCACTAACCTCCTGGGACCCAACCGCCTTATACAATGACACAATTACTTACTTGATATAGCCCTGTGAATTGTAATGTGTTTTGTAGGTGACTGCCTAATGTCCTTCTATAAGCACCTTTAACGTACCCCCTGTAGAATCCTGAGATTTTTTTTTGCTACTGGTTCAGATTTGACTGTGTAACCTTGCTTACTTTAAAGCATAATTAAGTGGAAAAATCATTAAAAAAATATTATCACTAGGTTTCTATGGTTTTTTAATGTCCTTATAGAAGGACATACGGTTTCTATCCACTTAAGGCCCTGAAATACAATAAAGAAACTTTACCACAGAAAACTGTAGGTGCTATTAGGTAGGAAAAAAAATCTAAATAGTATTTAATAATACATTTTAATTATAGGCTACAAAAACTTTTAGTCAGTATGATAAAACGATTTTACCAAATGGCCTATTGAAGTAATAAACTGTTTCAATCTAAAAGGAGTAAACTATAAGAAATAATAAAAGATAAATAGAATAATATATGAATAAAATATAGGCCTTATGTAGTATAAAACTTTAAACTGGCTGACCCGTATTTCGTACGAAACTTGACTGAATCTACTTTGAGTGGAAGGATGAGAAACAGTTTCGGTTTCCCATTAGACAAAGGTAAACATTACACTTAATACAGAACACTGATGTTTTCTTTCCACAGTTCTTTCTGCGACATCTTTTTTGCACTCCAGTTGTTACTTGTGGGAGGTGGATGGCGCCTCTTGTTCGTACTTCGATGGAAGGTGTTGCTACCTTTCTTCCATCCCCGACATCATGGACAGCGTCACATTCCTTAAGTTCAGATCCACAACTTTCGTTATCATCCTGAAGGTTTTGTTCGATCAGGCGTACACCAAATGCCAGTTTAAAAGCTCTGAATTGGGGGATGTCTTTTGGGCGGACATTTTGACTTCTCTTGAACTCTCTCATCTGCAGCCATGCATTAGACATTGCAAGGTCAAAAAAGTGCATTATGCACCTTATAGTCCACTTTTTAGTTTTGGAGCGGTTAGGGCAGTACGACATGATTCTGTCCGCCAGGTCAACTCCCCCCATATTCTTGTTATAGGAATTTATCACTGCCGGTTGACTAACAGTGATATATTTCTTTTCCTTTTTGTTCCACCTTTTTACCTGATGTTGTGGTTCTTTGCTTTCACTGGTTGACAGCATAGATACTGGCTTGTTATCCAGCCACTTAGTGACTGCCATTTTACCATCTTCCCGTACAGACACTTGACTGGAACCCCTTTCACTTTTCTTAAATTCCTTATCTGGGACCAAATCTGTATTTTTTGGTACTCTATTTTTCATTATGGTACCAGAACATCGAATACCTTGGTCAAGCAATGCATCTGCTAACTTTGTAGTAGTGAAGTAGCGATCAAAATACAAAGTATGGCCAGGAACTAATGAGCGAGATAAATACATCACTGCTGCTTCCCCAAGAGAAAATCCTTGGCTTGTTTCTTCAGGAAAAGTATTTTTTCCTTGATAAATTTTAAAATCGCAGATCACCCCATTTGGGTTTGCCAAAACAAACACTTTAAGTCCAACTGGGTTTGGCTTATTGGGGACGTACTGTTTCAGTGCACACGTACCTTGAAATGGCACCATCATTTCATCAACGCACAACTCTTTTTGCCGTGGTTGATTCATACAGCCTTGGAGAACTCTATCTAGTACTGGCCTTACTTTCCAAAGACGGTTAGTTTTTTTCTCTTCATCTGAGAAATCATTGTCAAAAACAACCTTCAGTGATGTACGAATCGCATAGAATCTATCACGGGTCATTGCACTGGCTAAACAAGGGATCCTGAATCGTTTTTCCCAGTACATTCTAATCTGCGGAAAGTTTAGGGCTGACATCACACAGTTCATGCCAATCCAGATTTTAAGCTCCTGTAACGTCAATTTTAAGCTTTTACCTGTTATGTGAATTGAAGTTTGATTTGTCTTTAAAACCATCAAATCCAAGAGTTCATCATCAAAGTACTGATAAACAAATGTATCATCGTCCCACGAGTCATCACATTCTTCTTTCTTGTAGCTTGGCTCCATCAATTTGATTTCTTCAGGTTTAAATGATTTAGCAGTCCACTTTGGTCCAGGATCAGCCGGCTTCACAGTAGCAGTTTTCTTCTTTTTTTTGCCACTAGCATTTTGTCCATAATTTTTTGTATCCCGCTGTAAAAAAAGAATTATTTTAGGATTGATATATTAAATGTATTATTCTGAAAAAAGGTTTCGAGTTTTCACGAAAGTTTTCATGTTTAAATTTAACTAGTTACTCATCACAAGAAACAAAAAGTTGTTAATTTTACCACATAGTTAATGACTGCCCTCTGAGCGCTTTCCCTGAAGGTATACTTACATTTTGGCCTTGAAGGTACTACTAAAGTAGTAGAAAATATAAACTTTAAAACGCATTTTTGCCATTTTCAGGAGAATTCTCTTAAAAAAATATATTTACTTTGGGTTGGTTGATGCACAAAATTACTATAGTTTAAATTCTTACCTTTCGCTTGGGTTTAGCTGATTCATCCGCACATTCGGAATCTGAACTAGGGATATCTTCTAAATCTGGATTATAATCCGGATCTTCATCCGTATCATCATCACAGTCTCCTAATAACTCTTCTAGACTTAGACCCATGTTTCGTGGCCCTCTTGGATGTGGCATCATATCTGGCTCGTCATCTCCTATATCTTCAAAATCTGACTGATCTAGATCCAAATCTCCAACCAACTCATTGAGGGCTTGATCTACTTCCTCGTCATTCACTGTAATACAAACACAATTGTTTAGTGCTTACAGCAAAAGTGGAAACCAAGGCTTTTGTAGATAAAATAAATAACATTACTAAAACAACACTTGACCTATGTACAAAACCAACGTCCTTTTAAAATCCCATTTAAAAATAAGACTATAGGATGTAGGGCCCGAATGTCCTTTTATAAACCAGACCAAAAAATGGGATGTTTGTGATAAAGACCTGATGTCCTTCTAAAAGGACATGTACATTTAAGAACGAATAATAACTTAAATAATGCATCTGGATAGAAAATTATTTAATAAATAGTCAGTCAAACCATTACACTTCATGATTATAACACTCAAATCAACATTGGTATAAATTAAATAAGTACTTACGGCAATTAAATCTTAGGTCTTCATGAGTCCTTCTACTCGCCATCTTGTTTTCACTCAGACAAAGAGAGCAGAGAGCTCTGGTGGCAATTGGTGAAACTACATCAACAGCAAAAATCATACTATAGCCAGTGTTGCCAAAAGCGAGTGGTCCAGAAAGTAAAATTTCCCTTGGCTGATTTTTAAAAACTGTGGCATTATATAAGTACGTTCGGCAACTGCGCATTAAATATTCTAAAATAATTCAGTTCTTAGGCAAGTAATGATATTATGTCTTATATAAGGACATTAGGTATTTAGTGTTAAAATGAAATAAAAATTACAGGACTCAGGAGGCTAAGTATAAATCATTTAGTACTGTATTTATGCTTTATGGCTGCTTACCCTTTCACCATGGTTGCTTTCCAAAAATCAGATTAGATAGTTGGACGGAGTATGTTTTATCTATGGTTGGACTTAGGTTGCTCTCCGTCCGAGCTACTATCTTATCCATCATTTAGTGCCCCCGTTTAATAGTTATAACTATAACTATAGTTATAAAACTAATGTTATATCATACAACTCTCAAAGTCTGTGATGTGACTGAGAAGAAGAAGAAAACCAAATTGAGCCGGTGAAATTCAAGTCTTTTGATACGAGTTATTCATGATTCGACTCACTAAGGTGAACCAGAATAGTTGCCTTTACAATCGGTCCCATTTGCCACCCACACCCAGTCCAATAATCTAAATTGAAAATACCCCCGCCGCAACTAGAGATGCAGACTAAGCGAATTTCCATTTGCCTGATTGGATTTTCACTAAAATATTTCCTTGAACATGTCGGATTGATTCACTGTTTAAATAACATTACCTTTAACGAGTACTTTAAATTAGTTTACTGCTCAAATGTACTAATGTACTAATAATATGAGGATTTTTAGTAAAATGTGAAATGTAGGAATTGAATAAATAAATTTGCCAAATTGATAAAATCATTTCCATATACCCCCACCACAGAAAACCTGCAGAATAATCGAATTTCAATTTGTATGATTGGATGTTTACTAAAATGTTTCCATAAACAAATCATATTTGTTCCCTATCTAAAAAACTTTAGATTTAACATGTTTTTTTTTAGGTATTCATCTGCTTTGGGAAGGGAAGACGTATTTTGTAAATCAAAAGTCGATAGTGTAAGTTGAAATAAATACATTTACCAAATTTGATAAACAAGTAAACTATGACAGTTTCTCCATAAGAACAACATGGGAATTTTAAATGTACATTTTTTAATATTCTCCTCAACCTCAAATCCTACAATAACGCTTTAATATTCAAGATTATATGTTTTTAAGCTCTACACAGTGGCTGTAATGATAATTTGTCATTTTTATGTAGTAGGGGTAAACACATAAAAAATCAATTTTTGAAAAACTACAAACTTCTAGAACACCCTGTGATATATAAATATTTAATGATTTCAAATTCGATATTAGTCGAAATCAATCGCTATTGAAACTTCAATTATTGAAATTTACCGCCATGCAAATGTACAATAGTACAGGTGTGTAAATGTATCGAATAGTTTTAGAAAACATATTTTATTTACTATTCCTATTCAAATGTAAAATACTCTGGGACAGTTTTAATTTTATATTCAATCTGAAAATACGTAGCTTAACAACAACAAAAAGTGAGTTGTTTTTTAGCGAATTTCCCTATAGGGAAGTAGCTATTACCGTAGGTGGCATGGTAAGACCTAAGGCCGGGAGCGATTTACTTTTTCATTTTGATGTCCCCAGAGGCCAAAAACACCAATCGTTCAAATTTTTATATATGTATATATATATATATATATAGATTTATATATATATATGTGTCCGTGAACGCGATAACTTGAGTAATTTTTGTCTGATTTTGATGAAATTTGGTTTAAAGGTGTAAAGCGGGATAAACTTGAATGAGTTCGCGAACCAGCATGATCGGACCATGGGAACAGGGCTTTACGGGGGGTTTTATGGGGTAAAAATTGGTTTTTCTCACTTTTGACCTTCAAAACACAAAGTTTCCCAATTTCTCTTTAGACCTTTTTAAAGAGCTTAAAAAAACAAATAATTTAGTATATAAAAGTATTTTTGTACGGTTATTGGTAACGGAGAAAATTAAAAAAAATTGTAAATTTAAAATTCCCATGTTATTCTTATGGAGAATATTGTAAAATATTGTAGTTCGGTTGTTTATGGATATATTTTGATCAAACTTGGCAAACTTATTTATTTTGTACTAAGCTATTAATATTTTAAAAAAACACACTTTATTAGTTTCCTTGTAGCAGCAAACCTAGGTACTCGACCTATAATGTTATTTAAATATATTTAATTGAAAATCAATTCAGACAAATGGAAATTCGCTTAGTTGTCATGTTTGCTGCGACGGGGGTATTTTTTTAAACCAATTGTAAAATAATAAATATTAAGTCATTTTTATATGGAATATGTTGACCTATTTTGGACAAATAAACGGTTTCATGCTTGAGAATGTGTTCACAAACATCTAATAAAGTATGCAAAGTTAGGAAACGCGCGTTTTCAAAAGCATTCCAGGATTGTCTGGATGTGGGTGAACATATTCATAAACTCCTTCAAGAACCACACACACACGTTGTAATTACCGTACTTAATTGTGTCAGGGGAAATATAGCTGTAAATACGTGACCTTAAAACGTGTTTCAAAACTTCAATCATCTCAATAATTTCCAATTCCAACATTTTTGTCCAATGACACGTATACTCGTTGAAATTAAGAATGACCAACTTTGGGCCGAACTGCCTAGGGTAATTTCGCGATCTACAAGGAATTCGAAAATCCAGTGGTTAAAGAACGGAAGTTTGTTTAAGTACAGTTAAGCCTGGATTCCAGTCCGAGCGCCGACGGCGATACAGGAGGCACTTTCTACTGGATATCTGGGACAAGCGACCAGTGGCGGCGTTGAAACCAAAAGGAGTCTTCACTGAATATGAGGAATTCGCTGGACTTGAGTTGTTGTCTTGAATCAGCTGATATCAAGAAAACCTTATAAGGAAATTGAGATATTGGTATCGCGGTGATGTTGTTTTCATGTTGTTTTCTGTAATGTTCACGACATCAGAGGGTGGTTACAATTAAATTACAATTGAATTAGAAAAACTTACATAGACAACTCCTTATACAAATAGCATCATGAGCTACTAAAATCTATAACTCATCTTATCTTATACTCTAATACGAGCTATGTTTGTCTGACTGTAATATATATCTCGAAATCCAGCGGAAGAATTTTGACTAAATTTTGGAATTAGGGACTTCCCAACGTGATTGGTGACAGCAACAACCTCAAGAAAATTCGTATTTCGCTACACAACTCATTTGAAAATTTAAAAAAAACTAACATTGGTCTTATGGGTTGCCAAGTAACTATGTTGGTTGAACAAAATAACAAGGAAAACGTGAGCAAAAGGCTTGTCACATGTGTTTATAACAAGCTGTAATGTTTCAATTTAACTTACAAATAGTGGCACTAAACAATTTAACTCCATACAAAGCATTTGTCAGGCCCCGGCTGACCGCTGGTGCTGCGGCTTAACACTAAACAAGCACGCACATTTGGTAGTTGTCTGGCACCTTATTTTAAGAGTGCTGCGACCAAATAACACTTACACGTAGTGGCTCTGTACAATTTGACATTATATCTCACGTTTCACACATTCTACAGTTAGGATAAAATCAGCTACGTGGCAAAGAACCCATCCCTGAGAAACTTTGATAAAAATACAAAATAAAATAAACACAATTAAATGAAATTCAGAGTTAAGTCATTGAGACGTTACAAATTGGCGCCCAACGTGGGGCTTGATTTTATCACGGTTATAGATTATTTTAATGCAGAGATATAATTTACGAAAATATATAACACCTACACTTAGAGCACAAGAAGCACACTTAAATATGAGCCGGCAATTAGACGAAATCAATATGGAAGAATTATTAAGTCCTAATAATGACAATCCCGGAGATGACTTATACAGTATCGACAATCAAAATTTAGCGTCTGGCGACAATCTAAATCATAGTAACGTAACAAGTCCCAGTAGAACACAGCACACAAACATGGACCAAACAATAATTAGGCCTATATTACAGACACTTGAAGAGTTTAAAGAACAAGTATTGTCACAATTTAAACAAACTAAACAAGCACGCATATTTGGTAGTTGTCTGGCACCTTATTTTAAGAGTGCTGCGACCAAATAACACTTACACATAGTGGCTCTGTAAGTATAACTTAACATTATATCTCACATTTCACACATTCTACAGTTAGGATAAAATCAGTCACGTGGCAAAGAACCCATCCCTGAGAAACTTTGATAAAAATACAAAATAAAATAAATACAATTAAATGAAATTCAGAGTTAAGTTTTTTACAAATAGTGGCACTAAACAATTTAACTCCATACAAAGCATTTGTCAGGCCCCGGCTGACCGCTGGTGCTGCGGCTTAACACTAAACAAGCACGCACATTTGGTAGTTGTCTGGCACCTTATTTTAAGAGTGCTGCGACCAAATAACACTTACACGTAGTGGCTCTGTATAATTTGACATTATATCTCACGTTTCACACATTCTACAGTTAGGATAAAATCAGCTACGTGGCAAAGAACCCATCCCTGAGAAACTTTGATAAAAATACAAAATAAAATAAATACAATTAAATGAAATTCAGAGTTAAGTCATTGAGACGTTACAAAGCCATCCACAGTATACTAGGACATTACAAAATACAGTACAAAGGGGGAAACATCACTTGTAACTATTGAGCAAAGATTACACTGAAGATTACTCAATATAGGCATATATTAAATGAGTACACACTCTACTCCTTTAATATATGATATAGAGGAGAATAGTTCCTATCAAATATTTATTATTTTACTTAGCCCTCTCCTACCACTTAATCCTCGAAGTATTGAGGCAATTTATTGTTAGCAAACTTTGGTTTACCATTGAAATAAATATTTAAAAATATTATATTTATTTTACGTAAATTACAATTTAATCAACATTTTCAATCAGCTGTTAACCCAAATAACCACCAAAACGGAGCAAGGCTTGGTACTCCGGTACTCGGTGGGGCACACGGGAGGGACTAAGGCTAACATATCTTGTAGTGTCAGCGTTTGCCGCTAGAACTGCTAAGTTGAAATAATTTAAATTATTATTATTTTTTTTATTTTTTGTTATAAAATTAACTTTTAAATTATAAAATATTGTTTCAAATTATAAAATAAATTTTTAATTTTTAAAATTAAACTGTCATAACATAACCTAACCAACCAGACTTGCTGATAGTATAAAAACTATATAAGATGAAAATCTAATTAATAATTACTTATAATTTTTAATTAATTATAAAATTAATTTTAAAATTTAGTATTATAAAATTAAACTGTCATAACCTAACCTAACCAACCAAACTTGCTGATATGAAAAATTTGTTGACAAAAAGTTAGTGCTGCCAGCGGGATTCGAACCCGGGACCACCTGAACATCAATCCGAAACGCTACCAACCATGCCACGAACGCCGCTGAAATTTCATCGTTTCGTTACGGTAATCGTGTCGCCTCAAGAGAAGACATTAGCCACTAGAGATATGACGTCACTACACCTTTAGCCTTAGTCCCTTCCGTGTGCCCATTCCCTCCGGTACTATATAGTCTGGAGAGAGAGTGAACTTTCCTTGAAGTATTGAAGTCAAGTTTTAATAATAAAAAATGGTCCTGACTAATTAAACAGCTGGTCTTAGTCAGTAAAGCTACACAAGACATCACATTCCAGTACCTAGGTGGCGTCCTCATCTCAGATAATGCTATTGAAGTAACTATTTTATTAAGATTTTAAAGGACTCTGCTCGCAGTGTTAGGCCTACTTATCCCTTATCACAAAGTAATGGCCATATCAGATATCGAAAGAACAAAACTATCGGAGGTAAACAAAATAGTCCAAGTTCAAACAGAGCTAGCTATTCTATCTTCGTTTCATGGTACAGTTACCCATTTAAAAAAGGAAATTCCACATTACTTCTATAAATAAATGGCAAAAAAATAATAAAAGTATAAAATGTATTGGCAAATAAGATCATTGTTGAATCCTCTTATCTGGCCAGGAAAGTGTTTATAAAATGTTAAGGTCTCATTTTAAAGATGTGCAGCCTCAAGAACTCCGAGGTATACGATAATACATATATCAAACCCATATACAATATATAAAATATATAATATAAAAATATATAAAATATATAATATAAAAATATATAAAATCATAGTTTTCACAAAACTAAATTATGTTTACAAAATTATAATCTAACCTTAATTTTTTTATTAATAATATTTTTACCCTTCGGACCGGAAGTTTTAACCTGATCTTTTCACGGACACAAGTATAATAATTTTATTTGGTAAGAAAATTGTACAAAAGTATTACTCGCTAAGCTATTTAGATCCTTGATCGAAAAACAACTTCTAGCTGTTTTTAGCTTTGGACAGTTCGCTACAAATTTAAGAAAACAACTTCTTGAAATACCCCTTTTACAATACAATTACTTAGCACTTAACGTCTTTGGTTGTAACTTGTGCTGTTTCTTTAGCTCCCGACGTACACTCACTCAGCAATCATTACAATCCTACTATTTGAGCAGTTAACAATAAAATAAACGGTATTAGCATTCTGACACATAATTTCACCAATTAAGTTGTCAACAACCTTGTTGCACTATTTTGTTTAGACTTATCCATAACAGACGAATTTCAATCAGAACTGTTTTCCGTAAAATCCATTTTTCCCTTATTTTATGTTTTTTTGGGAAAACAGCATAAGTTTCCCGTTTTGACCCGTAATTGATACAAAATTTGTTCAAAATTTAAAAGTCTACAACATACTAAATGTTAATTAAAATCGTTCAGGCCATTTTCGAGAAAATTTGAGCTGTTCGTTATCTAACACTTCGGCCCAGTAACATTTCGGCCAAACTCAAATTTCTTAGAAAAACAGTATCACTTCGTCCCACTCGCTTTTACAGATGATTAAATGAGCTAATGGAGTAACATTTCGGCCCGACGAAAAATTGACAAGGGTTGAGGAACGCAGTTCAGGTAGTAAGAGGTACATGACCTGTATACTTTGCAACCACCCTCTGGTGGAATGTCGCCCAACCGTCACCCCTTGCATCCTCTGACCTCACATGACGGAGAATCGGTGGAATCTTACCTAACCTAACCTAACCTAACCTAACCTAACCTAAAATAACCTAACCTAACCTAACCTAACCTGTCAAATATTTTGTTGGGACGAAGTGTTACTAGTGGGCAGGTAGAGAGTTGGACCGTAGGCCACATCTGAGGGTTTCGGGCCGAAATGTTACTGGGCCGAAGTGTTACGACACGTTTTTTATGGAAATATCACGATTAAAAATCCAAATTACAAAATATTTCAAAAACACCTGGAGGTATGGATTAGTACCTACATATCGAATTTCATTAAAATCGGACCACAGGTCTGTAGCTCTGTACACATCCACACACAGACACACACGCACACGGACATAAATCACTTCGAAAACCACTTTTTTGGGTTCAGGGGGGGGGTCCAAAACGGATATATCCACTCAAAACTCTAACTCGAAAATTTTTATGAAAACAATACTTTCTCCATATAATATACTATGTATAGGGGGAGAAAGTAAAGTGCACCATACTATGGTAAACTGTACGTATTTTAAATAGGCAGTAAAGCTCTTACATTTGTCAAGTGTTTGGAGAGGATGAAAACCAAATTTCCAAATGATCCGAATCAACTATACTACTGAACTGATTCATCGAAAGAATAGTTCAAAATAAAAGCAACGAAGCTCATAATTAATTTTCTAGTAACATTACTCACGTTAAAGTATAGTAGTCGATTTGTTATTGCATGATATAGTACATTTGATATAAAACGTTCAATAATGATTCAGATCCCCCAGCTGAGTTCCTCGGTGGTGAAAGGGGAGTGGTCATGTCCGGTGGGCAGTGGGCCAGTGGGGCAAGTCTCCCGCTAGAGGGGCGGAGTCCCCCGTCGTAATGTTCACTGATTTTCTTTTCCGACGACCGAAATATTTCGAGAGAGAGTGTCTCCGAGATCGATAGTTGATTTACAAAAGAGCCAACTCACTGGATACGCAACAAACACTGTAGTGTAGGCTGTTGAATTTGAAACATTTTATCAACATTTTATAATTTCCTTTACATTTATATTTGATTCAGAAACCTATGAAAATATAATTAAAATCAATTCATATCAATCCTGCAGCATCAGTTGTGTAATTTACGCAGGTTTTTTTGACGAGACTCCGTTTCCGGATGATTTGCAATTACTTAAACGACGAGAGAATGTAAAACAAAAAGAGTCCCTTGATTGCAAACCGAAACCCGTCTTTTCTATGTCAGTCAACAACATGATAAATACTTGTTTCTACTACCTTTTCCAATTGAGTTGTGCTGGGGAAATTATTAATTCAAGACGCCATACCAGGAACAGTGTGAGAAAAAAAATGATCAAAACCCTGCCATCCACGTAAAACCAGACCGGGCCAATTAATACTAATTGACTTCATGACTCGACTTGTTTCGTGTACTAAGGGAACAAGGTCTAGTTTTAGTTCCTAAAGGAGCATCAGGAAACTTCGGGACTATTCAAGCACCCCTTGTTTTACCTTGAACAGAGTAACAGATAAACATGGGAGGCTCCATCACATCCTGGAAACATCACCTCCTCAACTGCATCCAGTGACAGGTTTGTAGGGGCGAACCATCGCCTTTTTTCGACGAAGTGTCAGCACTGACGGAGGTGGTCATCGCCATTCTCCAGGTAGAAAATACAGCGAGTTTACCCTATCTCCCTCGTTAGGGTATTCCCTATACTGCCCAGGATCTGTAAGGGAATGTTATGGGTAAAAGTCAATACGTAGTCCCGAACTACGGACCTGGTGAGATTGTGGATGAGAAAAGAAATTTAACGCCACACACGACATCGCTATCCCACTGGTCCTACCAGACCTGCAGTCTCCTGTTTAGCAGTTTCTTCCCTGCTGGTTTTCTGGGCAAATCGAAATATACGTAACCTCTCAACGGCGAGCTGATGAAGAGGAATCACTCCAGCAACAGCCACGTCAGCCGGTCCAGAAACAGCTTTTTCAGTTATTTTCATGGCACCCACCCAGACTTCGGTGGAGCACAGAATGATTCTGTAACGGTCATGAAAAGTAATTAAAGTTTACTTTATTTGCAGAAACTACTGCGATATCATAGATTTAAAACAAATCTTGATCACCATTCTAATATCTTTCTAATGTACAACAATGATTAAGCATTTCACTAATTGACGACACTAAAGGTAAAATCCACACAAGTTACTCTCACTTGTGCACATGGACTTGTATGGATTCCCTCTTTACAACTCTGTATCGTCCACCTCCTGGATCCTCTCTCTGGCAGAGACCCAAGACTCCTCCAGTTCCCCAGGTCCGCATTCTTCCACCCACCCGAGCCCTCACTCTCTCCGCCCCTCTGGCACTCCCGGAGACATTCTACAACCATCAACCATTCATATTCACTTCCATATAACTCTTCAAAATTGTAGAGACTTATTGATTAGCATAACTAAAGAAAGAATAGCATAAATTGTGATACTTTGGTTAATTTTTGAATGCGTGGAATAAAAGCTTTTCGTGTTCAGGTTGATCATTGCATCTTTAGAGTGAATGAAGGTGTATAAAAAGTGTTATACAACCCAAAATATGTATAGCATCAGAAGGCGCAAATATACAATCCTAAAGATTGATATTATCTAATCACTAAACTTCTCCATGATTTTCTTTTAGGAATCAAACGACTAGAAGATTATTCATGCTAGTTCATAGCACATCACATCTTGTCTTAAGCCCTTCTAGGTACGCAATGAAAAAATTCGAGATGGTGTCATCGACCGTAGAAAAGGTTTTGCTGAACGCTATATTTTATGACACAGTAAAATCAACGCTTAGCTTTCCTATTCAAAAGTTAACAAAAATATATGGCTCCAAGAACAAAAACATCTTGGTCTACCAACATATAAAATCGACAATAAAATCCAAAAACCAATGAATAGCGTGTTGGAAGTGGAGTTAGTTGTCTACAGTAAAAACTAAATTAACAGCCGATCCACAGGACTATAAGTGTAGTTTTTGACCATATAGCCCAAATATTATATATGGAGTAACTATGATTTTCTATGGGCGATGGTCACAAAAATAGCAATAACTTTTGGACCATAATGTTCAAAGAATTAGGGTAGGGACTGTACAATTTTGTTTGGAATTAAAATGACCATGACTAAATTTTAATCAAAATCATTCTAGTAGACGTTTTCGTGAAAATCAGATTTTTCATTATATTATGCTTTTTGTTGTAAAATCCCCATTTACAAATATCAAAATTTCACAAAATTACAAAAGAAACTGGAGATATTGTATTGTATCGTATCAAAATCAGTCCACAGTTGAAATATGTAAACTCGAACAATTAAAAATCTAAAACGTTGACGAAAACAATACTTTCCCTATATACCATGTACTAGCTGTTGTACCCGTGCATTGCAACGGGAAGAGGACAAAAAATAGAATCATTTTAATCTTTATCTCTTGCATATAATAGTTAGTTACACATCCGCCATTTCGCCAACGCTTTTAGAAACAAAATTAAACTTTTATGGCCTTAATAGAAAAGTTTAAGTTATGACTTTTAAATCTGGTAAGTATTGGATACCACCATTTTGGTTTTGATTCATTTTAAATCTTGTGTAGGATGATATGAGAAAAACTGACCAAATCTTCGATTAAAACTGACATAAATGATTTACCAGATTTACCTTCATCTCCCTTAATTACACATCTTTTAATTTATTATTGACATTTTAAATTTCTATTTTGAAGTTACAAAAATACTAGTTATTAAATTTAAATATCTTTATATTAAACTCTTCTTTATATTAAATCACAAATCCTTTCATCTTCAGTTTTTTCACTCACAATAAATCATTAGCAAAACTAAGTCAGTTGTTATAAGCTTTAGAAATATTACTGTGCCTTATCAATACCGTCTTTTGAAATATTAAAGAAACTGTATCTATAGGTACTATAACAAATTTCAAACAAATAATTTAGCATTAAAGACAGCAGACAAAACTAATATGATTATCAAAGCATCAAGGACTAAAAAATGTAATAGCAAATACAGTATATGTTTCATTGCATCTCTGATTCTACTATACAAAAATATCAACAAACAACTTAATATACAAACCAGTTCTTTTAATCAGTTCCATCATCCATTGCCTTTACATTTTCACACTTGCCTTTAAGAAAACATAGTAACAGATATTTCATTGATTTTAGAAACAAAAGAACACTGTGTACTGCTTAGTTTTATGATATTTTCCTTGGTTTAATTTAATCTGTGGTGTGGCAAAACACAAAAATTAAATGTATCAAATAAAGTAAATGTGAACTGAAAGCTATGTTAAGATAAAATAAGAGTATTTTGTATTAGCATTTGATAATTAAATATGGTTACACATATACAACAGATTGTAGAAAACAAAAATCAACGACAATTTAGTTATTGATGATATTCTTTAGTTTAATTTAAGCATAGGTTTAGCAAAACACAATAACTTAATTGACTTAAATATACATATAAAAAACAATGTGATGTGCAAGTTATGTTAAGTTAATCTAACACATGTGAAGCAGTTAGAAGTTATTTAAAGTAGCCTCCAAATTCATACAAAACATCTATACATTGTAATTTTCATACTGTTTCCATGAAAACATATCAATAACATTATTTTCACTTAAGATTATTAACTTAAGACGCTTTAAAAAATCCAAAGCAGAGCCGGAGTTGATACAGCAACGGTTATAAAATCTTTTTTTTTCTATAATCATTGACATAGTTTTAGAATAAATAATCCATGATAAAAGGTTAGATTAAAATAAACCTACCTCATATTTATGGAAAATATTATATTTAATTTCTTTGTATCAGCTGTCTGAAATTGTGAGATATGTAGTTTAGCAGTTCTTGTTTATATTTAATGTCAAAGCAAATGTAAACAAACATTTTTAGTGTTCTTATCACAGCCATGGAGACCAATCAATATTTACTTTTAAAATGTTCACTTCAGAACTTTTAAAGCCAAAGGGGCAAAGCCTACGGTCAGAATCGAAATGTGAATAGTCCTATAATGGTCCTTGGTATGGTAGCTATATTTTTGTAAAATTTAAGCCCAGTTGGTTCAGTAGTCTTTGCACCTATTAGTAATACACATACAGACAGACACCATTAGATTTTTATATAATAGTATGGATGGATATGGATAGTTGGGGAAAGTAAAAGGATGTCCAAACTGTAAACAATAGATAACTTTGTTGCTAAACAAGTTTGATCAGGTTTTTTTTGTCAATAAGAGATAAAATATAATTGCGAGTTGAGATAGAACAAATAACCCACTAGCGTTGCAATTCAAAATGCGCGTTCTAAAGTTACGAATTTAGAGCAACTAGAGAACCTGGCGCACGAAATCGTGCGCAATTTAGACAAAGGAGAAGAAGGATTTTGTATTGATTTTTTTATTTGGCGTTTCTCGTTTCTTGGTTTTGCTGCTAAAGCTGGTGATGGTAAAAGGCCTAATTGTGTTCACATATTACCTGCCGTTTATGCAGTTTCTTTGGTGGAAGTCAGAAAAAGATTCTCTTTTGATTGATTGATGATAACCTAAATGATAAACCAAACCCTCTCGTTCCCACCACCACCTTTGGCTGAAGTCTGGGACTTATTTGCCAGGTCCCGTGATAAATCTTCTTTCTTTCTAGGAAACCCCCTCGTTTTCACCACCACCTCTGGTTGAAGTCTGGGACTTATTTGCCGTGAAAACTCTTCTTTGCATATTCAAATGTTTAGTTTGAAATCATTCAATCCTAACATCCTTACCCTAGAACTTGCATCCGTAAAGCATTGATGGCTTAACACCCTTTGTACAGCGTCATCAAATGCTTCCCAGTTCTGCTCCTATTTTCTCTGGCATGTCCTGATAATTTCATGAAGACTCCTTTTAATTTTTTTGTACATTTCCTCCACATGTTTTTAAAAGTTATTTCTTTACCTTCCTAAATCAAGCCTGACGACATATCAAGATTCCTGTTTGACACAATAATGGTGTTTTCCAGAATCTTTGGGACCCACCCTTCCTTACTTCCGATCTAATCAAATATTCTTTTTGGAGGTGAAAACCATGTTATAACTAATATCAATATCTTTAGATCATTATTCTTGTACACTTATCATAAATACGTATATGTATATGTCATCTCTTAAAATAGATAAAATTACATAAAATAATTTGTTCCTTGGTTATATTCTCCACTCATTTAATATAATCCTTTTATTTAGTTTCTGCAAAACAAAGATCTTAAAAGTCACAACAATAACGTGTACCTAACTGCTGCACTGTCAGTTCACTTTAAAATTCACTGAACCCTATAAAAAAAAACAAAAAAAAACAGTGTACATTTTTATATCTTCAAAGTCTTTGTTATGTTTCCATTCATTTCAATTTGAGTACAAACAGCTGTTTCAAATATTAGTGTAAATTTCAAAGTATTCATCTTTTCAAATGTAAACAAACATTTTCTCCATAAGGATAACATGGGAACTTTGAAGGCCACTGGGGCAGAGCCCTGATGGAATTTCAAAGATGTTTTGATAGATGGCAAATCTACGTGCCACACCTTATCCAACGACACCTCAAACTTGGTAAACGGATGCATAGCATCTCCAAAACAATGATGACAAAAATATGCCTAGCGTATTAAATATATAGATTATTTCCCCGTAAAATAATTTTTGATGAGCAAAATATCAACATCATTGTGAGTACGATCAACCACATGACGCAGGCACTTTGCGATTTATATTAGTCATACAATTCCTTTCAGAAAATAATGTTGAACACTGTGAGAATGCATTTATACTGCAGTAGAAAAGCGAGAAAATGTTTCATCTTGTCGAAGACCTACGAACATATCCTACATAGTACAATCTACCTCACACACGCACACCTACACAGCTAGCTCCAGATGTCCGTCGTAGCGTGAGATGGTGCTTCGTTGAACGAGAGTGTAGTGAGAGAGCTACAACTCCTAATTACAAGACATTACTTCGCCAGTTAATGAACTCAATAATGTAGAGCAGTATGGCACGGCGCTCGTAGGCAATATGGGTACAGGGAGTATATTGCCTATCTTGCGCCTGCCTAGCTTTCCAAGTACAAGACTCGTCAACACTAGCACGGCGCTGGTAGGCAATATGGGTACAGGGAGTATATTGCCTATCTTGCGCCTGCCTAGCTTTCCAAGTACAAGACTCGTCGACACTAGCACGGCGCTGGTAGGCAATATGGGTACAGGGAGTATATTGCCTATCTTGCGCCTGCCTAACTTTCCAAGTACAAGACTCGTCGACACTAGCACGGCGCTGGTAGGCAATATGGGTACAGGGAGTATATTGCCTATCTTGCGCCTGCCTAGCTTTCCAAGTACAAGACTCGTCAACACTAGCACGGCGCTGGTAGGCAATATGGATACACCCTGTACATATATTGTATATCTTGAGCCGTGCTACGCTTTCGACGTGCCGATGGAACTAAAAGAATCTACCTGTGCAGATATTTAGAACTTTGCATTCGTGTATGTTCTCTTTTGGTGTAAGGACATAAGGTTGTCTAATTTGTGACGATTGATTGGAATTGGGTAACTAATAATATTTCCTATAGGTTGGTAACAGAAAAAAATGGAAAACAATTTTAAAATGTATAACAAAATAATGGAAGCATTTTTATGTGTTGGCAATGAAATAATAATTTGTGACCTACTAAATGAAGGAAGTTTACACTGATGACACTGGTGGTGTGGATATTTATACACTTTTATTATGTATAATTTCAGTATAAATATAAATGGAAGATACTGCATTTTATGGATGAAAAAACCACAGTATACTGACAGCGTAGAATCAATTAGTGGCTTTGACTGAATCGATCGATGTCTTATCAAGATCTGCTTCAGGTCTGATTGGAAAGTAGCGTGTGAACCATTGACGAAGGGGATTCATAATTAAATGAGTCATCAGAAAACATAGCCAGTTGGTAGGTTTAAGTAGTGAGTCTTAAATTAGTTACAATACAAAACGCTTTATATTAAATCCAAAAGTGAAGTTTTCGTTTTTTGTCTGACTTTCCTTTTGACTTATCTTTGGCAATTTTAACATAAAAAAATCTTTCTTACAAGTACTGTTTTCCTTTTGACATTACTTGCTTGAGTTACGCTATTTTTGACAACAAATTATTTAAGATGTACACTCTGAGCGGAAGAAGAAAAAGAAGTCAACGACCTAGAGCGGAAGTGCTAAATACCACTGAGTACATAGACAGTTACTCGCTAACTGTGCGCGGTAAACCATCCATAGAGTAATAACTTACAAGACAATGCGAGCTGTAGTAAACAAGCTAGTACGACAATAACCTTCACTAAGAGGGCTCAAGTAATATTATGCTTCCAGTATAGTACTGATGATTTTGTGAGTTAAGAGTTTGTAAAACTAATTCTCTTTTAGCGAATTTCCCATATAGGGAATAAGCTATTACCGTAGGTCTCATGGTAAGACCTAGACCCGGGACCGATTTACTTTTTCGTTTTGAGGTCCCCAGAGGCCAAAAACACCATCCGTTCAAATTCATATATATATATATATATATATATATATATATATATATATATATATATATATATATATATATGTGTCCGTTAGCGCGATAACTCGAGCAAAATTGATCCGATTTTGATGAAATTTGGTACAAACGTGTAAACCTACATTTATTCGAACGAGTTCGCGAACCAGCATAATCGGACCATGGGATCAGGGGTTTATGGGGGGTTTTATGGGGTAAAAATGGGTTTTTCTCGTTTTTGACCCTAAAAACTTTAAATTTCTAAATTTCTCTCTAGACCTTTTTGAAGAGCTTAAAAAAACAAATCATTTAGTATATTTAGTATAAGTGTTTTTGAATGTTCATTGACTACGGAGAAAATTAAGAAAATTGTAATTTTTAAAATTCCCATGTTATTCTTATGGAGAATAAATAAACTGTTCTAGTTTGCTTGTTTATGGATATATTTTAATCAAATTTGGCAATTTGATTTATTTCATACTAAGCTATCAATATTTCAATTGAAAAAACACACCTCAACATCTTCCCCGTAGCAGCAAACCTAACTACTCACTAAAATAATGTTATTTAAATAGGAAATAAATCTGAAAATTTATAGGGAATATTTTAGTAGAAATCAAGCCGGGTAAATGGAAATTCGCTTAGTATGCAGGTTTGCTGCGACGGGGGTATTTTTACCTGTCCGGTTGTCTCCCACTACAGTAAAACGATAAACATCCAGCAACCAAATTTCAACCTGGCTATTCTTTGAGTTAGTAAACCCATTATGAGAATAACCGAATACTGTTTGTTCAAATTAAGAATTTTGTGGTGTAAAACATAGATGGGTAATTGTAGGAAGATAAGGGTAAAGAATGAAGAGAAACACTCCAAGAATGAGAAAGTATGAAATTCTATGAATGCACAGCGAGCAATATAACAGTTTTACTTAAAGCTTTATTTCATATTTTAGGAAATATTTGAACAAAAATAATATAGTTTTATGATACAGCCTAACAGCTAAACATGGTTCTAACATTGGTGATTATGGGGGTTAGTTAGTAATACCATTAAATAATTTATTTCGTGTAATAGAAATTTAGAGTAATACTTAGTGAGATAAAATTGCTGCGAGTTGTGGATAAACGTAGGATTGACTGGCATAAAACATATTCTCTAGAATATCAAGGGTCACAATTGCCTCAGATGGTAAATTTGTATTGAATATTTTCTCCTCTACAATGGATGAAATTATTGCTTTTACTGGATAATATCAGTTGGTTCTTTACCATAACCATTTTAAACCCAACGATCAAAAGCAGGTGGATCCAGTTTCGAACCATCGATTAATAACAAGGCCAAGTTCCCAGTTCCATTTCCGTCATAGTTTTTCCTAAAAGGCGACACTCATAACGCTAGGACTGTAATCCAGCCAAGTCAGCTGTTACTTCAGGTGTACTTTCTTTCATAATTCCTCATCAACCACGTTAGAAAAGATCACGACCGTTGCTATGACGTCACGCCCATCACGCTCTGCACTCTACAGTTGCTGTCGAGCACTGCTAGACCGCTAGGTCGCCTCCGTTGCGTCAGACGAGGGCTTCGCCCCGCTGGGGGACGGCCCGACAGAGGTCGAGGACGAGGAAAGCTGGGAGAAAGTCACTCCGGAGTCAAGGACAAGGTACCCACCTGGCGCGCTACGGAAGAGTTGTCCTCACTTGAGGCTGCTGCCGCTATACGAGAATTGTACTTACTTGGTGGCCTATTGGTTGGATTAAAAACTGTTGTTGAACTTAAAGTTTAAGTACAACACAAGCGGACAAAGGTGTATTAATAGAAATACTTTCGGTAGTCTATACAATTACTACCCCATTTGTAGTAAAGTATTTCAATTTTCATATAACTTTTGTTTTAAATACCATGGTTGATTAAAAAAGTCTTGGTACTTTGGTATTATACCAATCACACCGATAAATCGATTTCCAAATAAGATTAATTAGCTTAAATAAGAAAATATTCCTAACCTAACCTAACCTAACCTAGCCTAGCCTTACCTAACCTAACCTAAAACTTAGTCCACCCTTAGGTTAGGATTATTAGGTGAGGTCATAATACCAAAGTAATTAATAGTCTTAAAACCACGGATATTTTTCTGAAATACCGTTTGAAAGAACACTACTTTAATGTACAGTATTTATTTCTCAATGGTTACACCCTTTTACAATAATATACATGGATATTACAGGCATGATTAATATCTAATGCTTCACTAAAGTGCTAATGTAACAATAACTATAGCAATAAATAATATGACAGTAAATAAAACAATAAATTTAATTTAATTGAATTATGGTTACCACTATTTTACAATAATTCTGTAAATAAGACGTTTTAGATTAATTGTTATAATTATTCAATCACCAACGTTCTTTACAAAGCATACAAGCAAATCGTAATTTTAAAATGTATTGCTGTGGACAAGGTATACAATTTAGGTGATGGAGTCAAAATGAAAATGTAAGAAAATTATCTTTAGCAACCAAACCCAATGTCCAATTTGAATGAAACAAAGAATCAGTTGAGGAAAATAAATAAATATGTTTAAGCCCTTATACAGGGTGGGGCAATGAGAACACCACAATTTGTTTTAGCTGTCACATGTTAATTGTTGCAACAACGAATGATCAGCTGTGCTTAAAACATCAATTAAATTATGCCATTTTAGTAAATATTATGCCCGAGGCTATGAACACTGAGATTTTGTTGTGCAAACCTATTTTAAAAATAGTGGTTCTTGTGCAAAAACCCACAGATTGTTTGGACTACATTCCATCCTTGGTCAACATGGCACTGTTCCAGATTGGAAAACAATAGTGAACTGGGTAAAATTATTTAGGATAAACGCTTAAACACTAAAAATAATCGGTGGGTGCCGCAAAACTCTTTGTACACCAGCAAATGTTGAAAGAGTGTGAGTCGCAGTAATTCAAAGTCCAAAGAGATTTGCCAGGAAGCTGTTGTTGTTGAAAGCTTTACGTTGTGGACAATTCTTAGCTTCGGTTC